GTACAGGGGGTTTTGCAATAAAACAAAATATGTTTTAAATTAGATTTTATGAGTGTCAGAGATCCAACACAATCCCAAAAACCATTTTTTTTTCTGAGGGTTGGAAGTAGACCTGTGGTGCTATACTAGATGATTGCACAAAATAATATGTCATTTGACTGAGGGTGGAGAGGATAGTTAAGGCCTCACTGATAAGAACAGAAAATGTGCTTCTAAAATGGCACTAATTATTCACTTTACTTACTGATAAGTAAGTAAAGTGCAACATAGCTTATTTGCTTTTGTGCAAAATATTTTAAATTACACAAGAAATTGCACTTTTAGATACTTTTTCTCAATGTCAGCATATGAAGAAAACAAAAAAAGTTGATCTATAGGTTTTATATAAAAATGTTTAAAACAGAAAATAGACTAGAGCATAACATCAAATATTTAAACTCTACAAGACATGATACTCTCTAGTAGACCTGAAGGCTCTTTGTAAATATGAACCAATAAAAATGCAGCCAACAGGAAGTCAGCGCAGTCAGCACTTTAACATGCTCACTCTTTCCCACTATTGCTAAAAGATGAGCAGTGGATGTTGCTGCTGTGTACAATAAAGGCGCAACTGATCTAAACGTAGTTATGACTTGTTTTTTAAATCTGGAAGGCAGGAATCTGTTTTTGTTAAAAGTGTCAACTGTACTGTCTGATTTTAGCTAAAAGGGCGACTTGGCTCGCCACTGTGGGCGCCATTCCATCTGGGGGTGGCACAAGAACTCAAAGACAAAAAGAAATGATTTGTCAGGTGAACCCCAGACACATTTTTTATTAGTATCTGGTAAACAATTTTTGATCCGATGCTGGCCTAAAAGTCTGTTTTTGTTTTTGAATCAGATCAAATTTGATAACTTTTGTTCACCATCTAATATACAAAGCTAAACTCTAAAGTATGCTATTTGTGAAAAGGTGTATGAAAACTGCAATATGCTGTCAAGTAGAAACAGTCTCAAATATTCTGCACTGATTACTGCTCATTAAATTTTATGGATTTATTAGCCTTTGCTTTGCTTCTGAAGACAAAGAAAATCGTTCATTAAAAAAAAGAAAAATCTCTAATCCTTTTTATGAGCCAATTTTCATGAAGGGTCTCAAGAGAAATGCGTCTTTGACGGGGAAAAACACACTGGGTCAGATTGTGTCCAAACAGAATGGGTCTTTATTCAGGAAGTGAAAGAAAAGAAGATTGTAATCAACACCCCATTTAAATACAAAACCAACAAAAATAAAAATAACCATGATATTCATCTTGCATATCAAAGAACCATTCAGTAATAATCGCAATCCAAACACCTTATAGACCGCTTTGTGAATCTATACACAAACTTTGATTTAGAAATTAGTCACTTTACCAATAAAATTACAAATATTTAGCTTTAAAAATAATCAAAAACTCAAAAATATCTCAGCAGTTAGCATCTCAAATATATTATGTGTCCACATAAAAATACAAATAAACCTCCACAAAAACAATGACATTTAAATATGACGAATTATTCCAAAGAAAAAATAAAGAAAAAAAGTCTGCTACTGTTAAACGAAAAATAAAAACGCAGGACAACACAAGATGAAAGGAAATAGAAATACGCATGAAAAAGTCTCTCCTTTTGTTAGCAAAACACTATTCAAAATAACTACAATCATTTACATCAGTACAAAGATATCTGGATTTAAAAATACTCGCAATGAAAAAACGGGGTTCGTTTTTCTGACGGTAAAAAATGACACTGTGGATCAGAAATCTGCAAAATATGCAATGAAAAAAATAAATCTGCATTTTAAAAAGGTCTACACTGTAGTTCTTACTTTTATACAAACATTAGAAACAGTATTGCACATCACAACACAGAGTCGAGGTTAGTCGGCCTTTCAAAATGTGTTATATTCAAGTTTCAGAGCATCTACGAGGACAGGCAACCGGGGCCTCGATGCAACGGGGGGAGGAAGGAAGTGGGGGTTCGGAGGGGGGCGAGAATGTCAAGTGTCTTCCCAGATTTAAAGAAAACCTTCATGTTTCCTTCCTTCAAACAACATGTGCCTCGCGTATCAAAATAAGAATCACCTGTGTATCAAAAACGTCTGATGGCGTTGCTAATGAAATGATTCCTCTGAACCTTTGGGGTATAATTCATTGGTTGGGGACAGTGGGGGTGGGGATTGGGGAAAATAAATTGTCATATTAGTCCTATTTAAATAGAAAAATACAATCAAAATCAAAAAATCTTTTTTCTCGTCTACAAAAATAGTGAAATAAATACGCTTTTACAAAAACAAAAGAACAAAACGAGGACACGTACAGAACAAACAAACAGTGTTTCAACATAGAAAATAAAAAAAGGAAAAAGAACCGCACGAAAACAGTTACGAGTCAAGTGTTACAGGTGACGATATTCACACATCATCGGGGTAACTAAAGGGAGGGAGACGGGTCGAGGTCGTTTCCATCGCTTCTCACTTTTTTTTTTTGTCCTTTTCGGACTCCTGCTCCTCTCAACAACCAAATTACACTCAAATATATCAGGAAAAAAAATCTGGGATTCTGGCTCTAATCACAGAGAACATAGATAACTTAAGACCACTGCATCACGCTACACCTTAAATAAGTAATCGTGGGGGGGAAAAAAAAAAAAATAAAAAAATCATCTTTACAGTTATAATAAATAGGTGGAGTCCACGTTTGCACTGAAATCATTAGGTGGGGGGAGTGAATAGCAAAGCAGTGCATAATAATAATAATATACCATCAAAAAACATCTCAAAGAGCCAGTGAAAGGTAAGTAGTCGTCGACACAAACAGTTTAAATTATACGAACCATCTATAATAAGAATATATAAGCTTTGAGTTTCCGTCCCGTTAAGGTTTCGTAACAGCACACACTTGACTAACACTGACCACACTTTGGAGGGCGGGGACGGGTTTGGGTTGGGACAGGGTGGACACCGAAATCACGACAACACAGGAGCGACACACGTGTACGGTAACTGAGTGGGCGGCCGGGGCGGGGCGGCCGTCCAAACAGAAAAGATTGTCCCTAAACGGTTTAAGTCGAAACGTCTTTCGAAGGGTCGAGGCGGAAACCGACAGAAACGAGTAGAAACCAACGATTAGTTTTTTTTATTTTTTTTTCTAAAGTCATCGTCCTCGCTGTAAGAGCGCAAGGCGGGAGATGATTCGTCGTCAGGTTTCCGTAAAACTGCGGCACTCGGTCGCATGGCGTGGAGCTGTGACTGTTACATAACAAAATATACGGAGCTTTGCAAACATATTCACACCCCTATATATACTTAGATTTAAAAAAAAAAAAATAATTCATGTTACAACCACACACTTCCACGTATCCGTTTGGGATTTTATGTGACAGACCAACACAAAGCAGAACATAACTGCAGAGTAGAAGGACAACGCTCCACGGCTTGCAATTTTGGGAAAAGGTCACCTGAAATCAGTGGACTAAAGATGACTCCAAACATTGAGCCAGAAACATTGGCGTTCACATGTGCTCTCCATCTCAACAGAATGGCCTTCTTCTTTATTTCTCTAAAGAAATGTCAGACTGCACGTGTAATTTTCCTCCGTTTCAGAAACCTGCAATACTTCCCATTGGCCTATAACACATCGATGGTGGTTGTAGTGAGAAAAATGTCCGAGGGGTATGAGTACTTTTGCAAAACGCCGCATGCGGGCCGATGTAGGATGCTTAATAATGTCACTCTTGTGTTTGCATCTGTTTCTGCCATAGAGCTGCAGTCTCAGATCACTTGGGGACCGTTCAGAGGTCCGACCGAAGGAAAAGCGAAGGCATGTAGTTGAATTTATCTCTACGTAATCTGTTGATAACTAAACTAGAGCTATCACACTAAGAACAATCACACAGCACATGGACAACACAAACCACTGAACACCACTCTGCTTTTGAGATTTTTTTTTGTCTATACAAGGCGCCACGTCACCAAAGGATGGCGTCTACTAAGTCTACATTAGAACCGATATCACTTGTTTTTGTATTGATAGTATGTAAACAGATCAAACAACAGAGAAACATCGATGCATGCAAGTTTATGTACGTTTTTTTTCTTCTTCTTACCTAACTTCTTTTTATTTTTTCCTTGTCATTTAGGAATCTGCAGTTGATGATCATGCTACCCAGTACAGAATTTCAGTTTTGAAGCCTTTTTAAAATAGGATTTCAGTGATCAGCTGTTTTGGTTTATTATATCTTTCTCACATCTATCCTGCATGCTACTTCTGCAGCTACAAGCCTATTGTGGTTTGCATGCACTCTTAACTCTTTCTGTGGCGCCGTTAAGTGGTTGAGTGCATACTGCATTTCATTTTACATGATTCGGGTTTAAATATAACACCAACATATCTATTCATATATATTTATATATAGCAGCAAAGCTTCTAAAATAGCTTTTTTTTCTTCTTAAGTATAAATGTTAGCAGAAAACCGGATTTTGTGTTTTGAGGTATCACTCTACAGGTTAGAATGAGCACAAAAAATAACCTTTTCTTCTTCTGGGTTTTTTTTCTCCTTTCAATAATCTCTCTAAAAAGTAAAAACAAAACAAAACAAAAAACAAAAACAACAAGAGAGCCCGTGGCGGCATTAGAAAGTAACGCTTGTTTCCACGTCAGACGGCGTGTCGGTTTTGAGCTTCCTATCGTTTTTTGCTACCTTTGGTTAAATCACCTGCGGCACGTGTCAACGTTAGAGAATCGAGGTCTTTTTTTTCTTTCCCCGGAAACAAGTGTGCACTGAACGCACTGTGTGGTTGCTAGCAGCAGACAGACAGACAGACAAGCTGCCCCCATGCAAAAAACATTCCTGTTTCTACTTTAAATCTCACATACAAAAATAATAAAAGTAATCACAATAATAATCATAATAATAATAATAATAATAATAATGATAATAATAATAAAAAAAGCTACAAAAATCAATCTCTTTTTTTTCTTTTAAATCTCCTCTTAGAAAAAGATGAAAGTACCACAAAAGAGTTGTAGAGTTGTCAGAGCCTGAGATGTGAGGGGGGTTTTGGTGAAAAACTGAGGCTTGCGGTGTTTGGCTGCTACAAAAGATATATAGCTATATATAGTATATATTGTATAGTGTTGCACACTTGATTATACTGATAGCTTAGTTTAGCAGGAGAGGCAGAGCCAGACTCTTTTTCCCGTTAGCCGGTATTTCCCTTAACTCTGACCGTCACCGCTGGATGTGGAGCCCCCCCGCCCCCTGTTAGTTCCAGCGGAAGTGAATCTGGCGCGGGCGGTCGGCGCCCTCCTTCACCAGGGGCTTGTGAAACTCTCGCCCTGCGCGGGAGTGGATGTTGGCCCAGCAGAACTCGCAGTAGTACTGGAGACAAGTGACGTTAGCGCAGAAGAAGGGAGCGAATTTCCCGCCGCAGCGAGCGCCCTGGCACTCGTCACACAGCTGGTCGTCCAGGACGTAGGGCTTCACCTCCACCTGCATTTTCAACGATAAATTGTGTGAGTGTCACATCTTAAATGACTAGGTGTGTGGGAATTGTTAATAAAACAAACTGTACCCGCTTATCGATGTCTCCATGTTGCAGCTGGACGAATCTTGCACTGATGGCAGCGATGTAACTCTGCTGATTGGAGAAGGCCACCCGCCCCGCCCCCTTGGGGTACTTGAGCTCTGGATCTGTGTCGATTCCTGCGTAGCACACTCCACCGTAGAGGCGGTCCATGATCATGGCCAGCTCAACTAAACAAAGGCCAAGAATATTAAAAAAAGAAAAGTTAACATGACATAATAGCAGTTGTGGGCACAGCTAGCTAAAAAGTTAGTTTCTTTAACCCTAAAACACTAATCATAAACAATAGCTACACAAATGCTAAAGCGCTACGCCAACATGATATTTAGCAGAAGCTAATGCTAAAGCGCTACGCCAACATGATATTTAGCAGAAGCTAATGCTGAAGTGCTAACTTCAATTGAAATTATATGATGTCAGCCCTTGAAATGCTACAAAGGCAGACATATAAGTTCAGTTGAGGAAATTAGAACTGAGGAAACAGAACTACAGCATGAACAGTCTCCACACACTTAAAAATAAGAGCATGAACGATTAGCTTGAAGAATTCATCTTAACAGTAGATAAATTGTCACAGATGTCAAACTTTATTCAACTGAAAGCTTACAAAACAGCCAAGAGAATCAGTACTTTATAATTCCCCAGAAAAAACATTTATTTAGGGGAGAGTAAGCTTGCTAAACGTTTTCAATGTTAGCAAAAATGCTAAAGCGCTAAACAAAGAAATAGCATCACTCTTAGCACATTAGTAGAAGAGAGATCACAATCGGATAACAGGCCCACCATGGCTGCAGTCAGGATAGTTTTATTTCATGTTGTTGTCTACTAAAACACAGTCAGGGGTACGTACTTGCTCTCAGGGGACGAGGGACGCCTCCCACAAAGATGGTTTTACGGGGATCGAGAGGCTGTGATCCGTCCATCACAAAATCACTGTCGCTCAGGTTCCATGGTCGGATTTGCACCTGCAGTCAAACATGACGCAAGTTTGACTCACATCTCTTGATAAGACGTGAAACATGTTCACGACGACTCCTTTTTGTTCCTGCCAGAGAGCTGCTGGGCGTTGAACTCACTGGTTTGTCCTTGATGGTGGGGCTGGAAACACACAGGTAGAGCTTCCCATCCTCCTCCATGCACGCGTCAATCAGGGCCTGCACCGAGCTCTCCTCCTGGAACAGCAGGAAGGCGTATCCTTGGACAAACACACACACACACAAGGTCTTAATGAGGATTCAGTTCAAAAACATCACTTTGCACAACCTACTAGGGCCAACAGGAAAGCATTTAATCTTCTCCCTTAACATTTCACCAGAGTGGATCATACAGAAAGGGATATGTGAGCCTTCCTCTTTGAGAAATCTGTATCTGATGAGCCACTTCTGTGTTCAGTATATTTTGGGTTGTTATCTTGTTGGAAGACCCAGTGGGTTTGGTCCAACCTTTTCTGTCTGTTCTTAAAATGATCCAGGATTAGTTGAACATGTTGGCCAAAATGCATTGTAATTTTCCTAGTAACTAAAAAAAAATGCTGTTTGTGATTCACCAAAACTTATAATTATGTCAAAAATGTACGTCTTATGTTTTATTTCTCACCGGTCGAAGTTGGGAATGTTAGGGCTACTAACTGCTTTCCATTGGATATTTCTTGATTTATGAAAATCTCTACAATATTTGAACGCAGAGCTCCTCCATTATGACTAATATTACAATCATGATTATTTTGGTCAGCAGTGATTTTAATGAGTTTCGAAAAACAGCACATTTATCACACTTGAATAACAATGAATGGCCCTGAAACACAACATTTCCCCTGATGTCTTTTTGAATGGGAGGCCTAAGCCTCCCATAAAAAAACAAGTATTTATCCATATCCAGGCTAATAAATGTAGAAAATATATATCAATTGCATAAACTCCAGCCCCTTTTTGCACACGTTTCTCATAAATCACTTCATGTTTCAATGTCGGCTGGCTAATCAGATTTGTCGTGTTGACGTGTGGTGCAGAAACCCTGGAGTAGAAAATCCTGCACATCAAGCATCTCTCTGCCATGTTTGATTGAGCTACATTTTCAAAATAAATGGGTCCAGCTTCCAGAACAAGACAATGACATCATCTACTATTTTTTTCCTATTTTGGATTAATGACTCGGGGTAATGGGTTTCTGTGTGATCATATTTACACCCCGGAGGGGAAACTCGACGTCATGGATTATTTACCAGAAATTGAAAATGACTGCTGGAGGCGAGGCTAAGCAGGGCGGATGATGGATGTTAGCGGGTGCTAATAATTGTGACACCAGTGATTCTACTAAATCATTTCTTAATTTGGGATTTTCTCCCACTAAATAAAAATTTTACTTTAAGGATTTTTTGTTCTTTCTTAGATGTCAACATTTATAAAAAATGTTTATGATATATGTTGTTCATGTGTTTTGTCGATACCTTTAGGTGGAAAGTAGGATTTGCTCTCAGCTTTGTGTGGCCAGTCGACCACCAGGTGACCGAAGCGACGGAAGCTTGAGGTGATTTCATCTGAATCGACGTGTAGAAAGAAAAAACCAAAAAAAACAAAATAGACAGATGTAAGAAGTGAAAGACGGAACAGAAAAAAACCCCAGACGTGGAGCCGGTCTGGTCATCCTCACCTTCGTCTATGTCAGGAGGCAAGCCCCCCACAAACACCTTACGAGAGAAGCGCTCGATGCGCTCCCCGTTTTGGTGGGGGTAGCAGTTGGGGGAGCCGAGGACTCCAGGGACACCCTGGTTGCCGTGGCCATCGTCGAGGAGATTGTCGTCGATCGGGAAGAGAGAGGAGCGGCCTGGCAGAGACGAACAGGAAGGTGAGACAAGCGGGAATTTGCAGAAAGCGCCCCGGCGGTGCTGCCTCTTTAAGGGAGCATCATTTCTCCTCTTTACAGAGGGACAGATTAGAGAGTAAAGCGCTCTATAAAATAACCTGTCCACTTTCATCGCACTGCAACGCCGAGACAAAGCAGCAGCTTAAAGCGAGGATTATGTGCAGTTTCGTTTTTGGCAGATCTGTGACTGTGACACGCAATAATCTGCCCTCTGCGTGGAGCCGCATGGCCGATGAGGCAGGGCTGAAAAGCTGGGAATGAAATCATGTGACCTCCGAAGTGTTCAGTTTATTATCCGTCCAAATAAAAATAATTAAACTGATAACAGAAAAATCATGTTTTCTTCTAAAATTTCATTATCAGATTTGTCAAAGGCAAATATATTCAATGTAATCTTTTATAATTACGTTGAAACTATTTATGGCCTGTTAGCCTAAAAAAAAAAAAAACAACTAAGTGGTCCGCCAACTGTGAATATACAAAAACATACAAAAATGTAATTAACTAAACAAGGTTGAATTACAAACTGAAGCAGCTTAGAGATAGAAAATGTTACGGATAAGGAAAGAATATATGAGGCTCTCTCAAAAATTTTAAGAGTAATTTGATTTGGATTAAAAAAATAAAAAATACTGAACCAAACTTAAGGTGCCCCAAAAAGTATTCACACTCCTTAAACTTTTCCCATTTTGTCCAGAAACCTGAATGTACCTCACTGGAATTTTATGTGACCGACACAAGAAGAGCATATTTACATTATTCAACCCCATTTACTTTGATGCCTCTAAATAATATCCAGCAGGCCTGGATGTAATTTAACCACAGTATGAATTCAGGTGATTTTAAAACATGGTCAGGATCAAAGGGCTTGAATACTTTAAGTCACAAAGTCGGTCCTGTAAACTCAGAAAGTGTTGAAACCTGCAGCACCTGCCTGTCAACAACCGACTCACATTCAGCTGCATGTGGCCAAAATGTTAGGCACACATATGTCAGGGTTGCACTGTGGAACAGAACAACCTGAATGTAATCCACATTCTGCAGAACTGGGCCTGGTGGGTGACCTTTTACAGAGAAGGACAAAACAATCAAGAGCTAAAATTTTAGGTCTGTTGTCATGTTTTGAAAATCCAATCAGTAATCTAAAACGCCTGAAAAGAGATTTTTAATCAACCAGACATTCCATGTCTACGTCACTAACATCTGAAGAACTCAATAGTTACCAAGCAGTTTCCCAGACATGTTGTTACTATTTATGTTAAAGTTGCAAACCTGGCATTAATGTTAATTCTTACGCTGAGGACACTTAGCTTTACATTTCTGCATCTCCTGATAACCGAAAAGCAACAGTTTAAACTGTATTTTACATTTTGACATGTTCATCAGAGACGTTTATCCAGCTTAACCAGGGAAAGACTACAGTTTCCATTAATGGCACAAACCTTTAGAGACAGAAACTAATAACACAACTTTGAAGCACTGGAAATGAACACCTTAGATTGAGTAAAAACTAAGTTTTTTAGTTTATTTTAATCTGAATTTTATAATTTTGTATGTTTTTTATCAACTGAAGACCATTTTCCTCCTAATTTAATGCACAGGAGCTAATGCGCATTTATATAAAAAGCTAAGCTGATTACTGATTGATCTACAGAATGTAAAAACACCTAAACAACAATAACTACATGTTTCAAATCAAATATTTACTACTAATGGAAAGAGAATAACAGTCTGGAAACCACTGTTATCATTCTTACTTGGTAAGTAAAATAATTGTGTTGTATTTTTTTGTGTACAGCAAAGGGTGAAAAGGAAGTTTCTTCCTAAAAACAAATAAAAAACCCCCAACATGTTCTAAAACCTAAAATCCAAAATACAGCGAGTTCTTGCTCCAGACTGAAAGCCCATTTACAGTATGCAGGAAAACATGCCACAGGAGAAGACAGACACATCGCAGTATTTACCTCGACGTCTCCCATAGCTTCTGGCTGCATGTAGAAAAGTACAAGAGGGCAAAGTTCAGCCGTGCAAACATTTTAGACTTTAATCTGCAATTATCTCATAACTTTATCCAACTACAAATCAACTGACTTCAGTAATTAGTTAACAGGATGAAATGGCCTGCCTAAAAGTGAACCATTTGCAGTATCTCAAGAACATTTAGACTGCAGAGGAGCAAGAGAGAGCAAAACGTCGTCTGCTGTGAAATATGCTGAGTATGTTGGCAGCATTTTAGATATCTCAGAGTTGAGTAAATGAGCTTAATTTTCTAGATCAGTGGTGTCCAACTCATTGTCGTTTTACGCCAAAGCAAGATCATAAATGCTCTTAAAGTGCCGGTTGTGCCAGAATGTATCGATAAAACCTGAACTGTTCAAATATCAATAAATAATATTATTAAATATCTTTTCAGTCCTTCCAGGATTTTCTGATTTTTTTTGCAATAAAAATCAAAGTGTTTGTGGTGCTAATTTGGATTTTTGTTTTTAGCAAAATCTGCAATAAGCTCCAAATTATGTGTTCAGGCTAAAAAGTAAGGGGATTTGTTGATTTTTGCGTGAATTTCCACGATAATTCTCAAGAAACTGGAGGGACTGATTGATATAATTTGACAGTAAACATATAAAAAATTACATTAATTTGACTGATGACATAAAATGTGAGCACAATTGGTGTTAAGTCTAGAACCCAGAGGGCCACACAAGAAGCTACGGCGGGCCGGATTTGGCCCATGGGCCTCTAGTTTGATACATGCCTTCTAGACCAGGGGTGTCCAAAGCCGGTCCTGGAGGGCCGGCATCCTGCATGTTTTAGTTCTCTCCCTCGTTTAGCACACCTGCATCAAATGATGGGTCATTAGAGGCCTAAGGAGAACATTGACTTGCTGAGGAGGTTGTTACTACCACTAGGGAGAGAACTAAAACATGCAGGATGCCGGGCCTCCAGGACCGACTATGGACACCCCTGTTCTAGATGGTCCAAACGGGCTTGTGCTAAGTTGAGATTTTAAATTGAACCGATTTAGATTTTTATCTTATACTTAGAACAAATGAAAACAAAAACATTTAGATTTTTTTTATTAAAAGGCATGCATGCGAGTCTGTCCCCACAGCTAGACATAACAATGTAGATCAGCTTCTGAGAGTATTAATACTAAGGCATCTACAGTATGTTTCCCTTAAAAATGTGACAGCATTTTAAAATAGAAAGCCTTGAAGAGTTACACAAGGAGCCCTGCAGGTGGTGAAGTGTGAGTCTAACGAGGTCAAAGAGTAACGGGGGATGCAACGAGGGGAGCGGGACACACAGAGGGAGACGACGCTTCCAGATAATTACCATTGAGCATGAGAAGGCCGTCGGCCCCGGGGTTAGGGCAGCCCACACGGCCTGACATGAGAAACACACATGTTACAAACTCAGACACACACCAAAGAAATACAAATACAGATACCAATGAGGGGGAAAGCGGAGGGAGAGGGCAGGATGAGGGAGATGCATTTACATGGCAACTGATGCAGAAACAACAAACAGGGAGAGCACAGCTGTGTGCTGCAGGCAAAAATGATACAAATGTTGATTAAAAAAAAAAGAGAACATTTATGACATTTTTTTTCACTAATTACATTGATTTTTATTTTTATTATTTTTAGAACAGGTGAATCTTTGCTTTTGTTAAAGCTGGCTTCATGCTGGAAATACTGGTATTCACTTAATGATCCGTCTTATTTATGGTTTTGGTTGTGTGTGGTTTCTACTTCTTTTTGATTTATTGTTTTTGGTTTTGTGTTTTATTTTGGATATTTAAAATCTCTTCCTGTTCTAGTCTTTGAGAGAGGGAACTTGCATTATTATCCCATTAACAACATATTACTTGGAAATGGTCTCAAAACGACAATATTATCGTTTACCGCGATCATTTTTGGGACAATTTATTGTCCAGCAAAACGTGTTATAGTGACAGGTCCAAATGGGATTTTTATGCAGTAACCAGCATACAGAGCAGGATGTTTTAGTATTATTTAATATTTAAATGGTATCTAGTTACTATCAAAGCTCTGAAGCATGCAGTGTCTTATTGTAATATCCTCTCACTGAGCATTTGTATTCAGCCTCCCTTTGTCAATACTTGGTTGAGTCACCTTTTCTCTACAGTCACATCTGCAGGTCTTTTGGGAGTTTGCAAAACCACAGTTTGGAATTTTATACATGTTCTTCTTGTATAGCGCGTTGAGTGGTCAGTATGTCTGAAACGGCGCTATATAAGTAAGTTTAATCTAGGAATTTTGAGGAACAGCTGTATTTACGCTAAGTTACACACACAGGATATGTGTGAAGATAAACGGTTCAAGTGCATCAGAGTAAGGGGGGCTGGATAGAAATGCACACCAGATACTTTCCAGATTTTCATTTGTAAAAGACAAAAAAAGAAAACCATGTTCATCATTTTTATTCCTCTTTACAGTTTTGTTGTACTACACCACATAAAATCCTACTTAAATCAGAGTTTCTGCAGGTTTCACCTACTCAAATTTAAGACTTTTTAAGACTGTTACAACCATTTTCAATTAAATTTACGACCAGGTAAAGACTTGTAAGACTAATGTTTGAATGCCTTGTTTAAAATCCAGTGAACTTCCGATTTCAGAGTTTTTATGTCGCATTAGCATCAGTCACCGTTTTCTGGGGCGCTTCAGCCATGTAACTTCAAAACTGTGACTTTTCTGGGATCTGCTTTTTGCACAGCATGCACAACAAATTAAGCTATGGAGTTAGGTAGCAAGGGTATTAGCAGCTAGTTAGCGGTAGCCTCAACCACCTCAAGTCACAGAATGCAATGAAGATGATTAGATGACAATAAAGTTGTTTGAGAAAAAAACAACATATACAAGATAAAAATAGTCTTGCCATGACAAAACATAAGAGCTGTGATTTTTACTGAATTTAAGACAGTTTAAGGCCTTAATTTGAATACTTTTAAGAGTTTTTATGGCTGCGCGGATTCTCTGAGAATTCACAGAGATTTGTAGTTGTCATGTGACGAATGATGAAAAGACTCGTAGTTCCTGTTGTGAGGAATTAGCACCAACCACGTTGCTTTTTAAGTTACCTAATCATTGTTTTTAGGTTACTGTTGGTGCAGGTTCATCTGCATAACCATTTGCAAGTGAATTCTGAGAATTTGCAGAAGATGTGACTTCTGAATCTTCTTCTTCAGGTCGTCTGACCTGTACTGACCAGTTTCACGCAGTGAAACTGGTCAGTACAGGTCAGACGTGAAACTGCATTTGCATGACAAGAATACAAGGCAGGACACTTTGGCTTGGATTTGCCAAAACTCCAGCACATAAGCTGCAGATGAGTCATGGTGGAGCAGATAATGGGCTCGTCTGCGTTTCATTTTTGTTTATCTACCAAAGCGGAAAAAAATCTGAAATGTTTCATTCGTAGCTGGAAAACATTAAATAAACCTCAACAGCTTAAAAAGTTCTTAGCTTCTTTATGCTAACAAGCTAATGAAACCTGATAATTTTACCATGTGCTCTGATGTTTAAAAGCTGCTAAGCATAATAAAGTGGTAATGCTGTAAATAGCCTGTCAGGGCCTTGTAAGCCGTCATCCCTCTCAACTCCCCTCTTGGCTGTCATAAACAGTGTGTGAAAGGGTGATCTCATCTAAAATTAGCCCGCCCCCCTCCCGTCTTCTTTTTTGCTCTGCACACTGGGCCATGTCCTGTCCATCTGTTCAAGCAGGAAATCCCCCTCCCCATCCCAAAGAAAAAAAAAATCTAGCTCATGGAAGAAGAGCACAGGTGGATCGCTAATAAAATGGAAAGGAATGACGGCGCTTATTGCTTGTCCACAAACAAATCAGTAACCAAAGCAGACGTGCCTGCTTGTGCCACCCGTGTTCTTCCTCTGTTCTTTCAATATTGTAAAGTGAGAGCGTATATGGCTCACACGGCTGTAAATGAGCCACTGGCAGGCGGTGGCGGCGGCGGCGGAGACGGCGACTGAGAAAAAGGAGGAAGAGGAGGAGGGCGCGAGGGTGCAGTCATCTGACACTGCTACTCTGATGTTCAGCAGCTGAGCGCGGGAGGCCAGGACAGTGTCGCACTCTCTGCCTGTCGCTGTCAAACCATTAGAAATAATTCAGAAGAAGCCCAGAGCTCATTCTGAATCTGTTGAATTTCCAAAGGCTGAGCAGTCAGAAAACAGGCTTCTCTTCTTACTCTTACTGAAGCACAAAAAACACACAAAAAACCAAAACAGCAGGCCGGTTCTGCTGGCCAGGTTAAGCCAGCCACCAGATCAGAGCTTTAAGGGTCAGTTGAACGTGCAGCTGGTGGCACCGGCATTAAGCTCTCAGCGGGGAGGTTAATAAGCCCGCGTGTGGAAAAAAACAACACGGCTGTGGGAGAAACAGGCTCGTCGGCTCCTGGAGACGATTTCCCGTGCGAGATCGTCTTCTTCTGACCCCCCGCCCACGACGGGCGGAGACCGAAAGAGAAAAGGCCGCCTTACCTTTTATCGGGTCCTGCTCCACTCGCATGATGTTGATCAGGGAGCTCTCCAAGGAGTGCATGTTCAGGCTGTCGTACATTCTGGAGCGGTCCTGGAAAAATAAAAGTATAAAAAATAAAAGGGGGGGATGTTTGTTAATTTGCCAGACATAAATGAAGCACACACACCTGATGCATGTGTAAATCTATCACAGATTTGTGATTTTGGCTTGTGAGTATTAAAGCCTCTGAAACGTGGCTGTTGGGCTTAGCATGCAGGGGACCGTAGATTCAGATTAACATTCTTTCCATATTTATTCAATTAGAGGGCCTGGAGGTGAGCCAGTGAGGGGCTGGACAACTATAAGGAACCGAGTTGTATACAAAAAGATGTCAGTGTAGATATTCTTTTGTTGTTGTTTTTTTCTTTTGCAGTTTGTCACGTAATAACAGGCATGTGATGCAACACAAGAAAGTTGAAAAATGCTCAACTTTAGTCGACGTTGATGTTCATTGTTTCAACTTTCACCTGTCGCCATTGTTGCATAAATAAAGGAAGGGCTGCTAAAGGCCATTAGTGAACATCTGCATCATGTGGATTAAAGGAACGCAGCAGACTAGCAGTATTAGGTTATAAAAAAAAACAACATCCCAAACTTGGACCAATCAGCTGACAGGAATACTACATGACATGCCGTCTACAAAGAAAGCAAGAAAGGCCATAGATAGGAAAGATTGGAGCAGTGTGGGGGTGGTTATGTTAAACAGGGAAACTGCTGAGGTTTGATTGGAAGATACAAATACAGGACAATCCTGATGGAAAACCTGTTTGAATGGCTGAAAAAAGACTGAAAAAGACGTGATACTGGAGTGAAAGTTCACCTTCCAGTGGGATGACAACCCTAAACCTACAGGCCAGAGCTACAAAGGAACGGATTAGATCATAGCATGTTGGCGTGTTTGAATGGCCTAGTCAAAGTCCAGCCTGAATTCAGTGAAGAATCTGTGAGAATGTATGTTCACGACAATCTCCGTTCAGAATTTTGCCAAGAAAAATCTGGAAAAACTTCAGCAACAGATGCTTCAAGTGTTGAATCAGAACACAAACGCACAACAGTATTTATTTATATTTAATCATAAAAAAATGTGAAAACCTGGAATCCTTCCATTTCCAGGTTGTTGTTTTTTTTGCAAGACTTTGCATCAGTCTGTCGCACGAAATTGAAAGTATTCAAAGGACGTTAATACTTCTGCAAGGTTCTGCACGATGCAAGGTTGAAATATAATTAGTTTGATCTCATTCAGTACAAATGAATGACTAAAACATCATTTTATGAAGCCGTGAGGTACAAAGTACAAAGAATGAAAAAGCATCCTTAGAAATTTCTCAGAGGTTTTCAGTCTTAAAATAGAGACGAATCCGCCCTTTGGTCCTGCTAACGTGTCAGATATGCAAGCAGAGACACCTAGCATGTTCAAACACGAAGATAAAGCAATATCTTTACTGGAAGAAATACTTCAAACTTTGACTGAACCGATTCGTTTGTAGCGAAAGTTGATTCTGTTATTGACGATTAATTTCAGCCCAAACTAAATTTGGTTGGGGAATTATTCTGACTTCTGACACCGAGAGCAGAGATGACTCTCTCTCTCTCTCTTACCGTCGTCAGTCTGAATCCCATGTGACTGTGGAAAGGTGATGCTGCGTAGATGCGCTCTGTCAGCCACTGCCAAACGTTAAACAGAAAAGGAAGGAAGGAAGGAAAAGACTTGGAATCTGAAAAATTTCTGGGTCTGACACTGTTTATGGAAATTCATCCATGAAGTCAGGCCTGCTTCCTGGAATGGAAGCGTTGTTCTTCTTGGCACCGATACGACTAAAAATACAAACTCATAGCAACAGTCGCACAACTTGGCGGCAACCTCATTCGGGCTGATATCATTAGTTTAATTTGAATGAGTCATATATGACCCAGTTAACGAACGTAGGAAAAACTAACCGTCTGACAAGGCCTCAGTAAGTGTAGATTATTAAGCAAACCCTTTAGGAGAGACGAAATGTGACACTTTGGTTCAGTGTTCAGATGTAACTTTGTGATTTTCTCTCAGTATTTTCTGCCCGAATGGCTTCATAAGGGAATTTAACAAGAAAAACATCAGGTCTTTAGCTAAAGGACAGCTTGACGGAGTCTGGAGAATGTCTGGACAACTGCATCCCGATACTGTCCAGAGTTTGCCTCCGAGAACAGACGACTGCAGCCTGTTAATAGCACAGCATGCAGAACACACAATACTTCTTCCTCTAAGTTCCCTAATCAGTCGTCAGTCAAACCTGTCGTCACACTGGATTCGGTAGCCAAAAGGAAACACTAAGTTTGAGATCAAGTCAGGCCAGTTCTTACTAAATTTGTTCCTAAATGCTTCTCGTCCAGGTGTTGATGAGTTGTCTATTTTAGCACTGCAGTGAATTTGAGAAAAAAAGCTTAGATTAGATGTTTCAATTTGGTTCATTTGAGTCATTAGGCAATTTATGTGATACAGAATAAGTGAAACGTAAGTGCTTTTCTTTTACTCAGGTGGATTTTACATCCAAAATGATAGTTTTGGAAAATAAAGTGCAGTTATTGTAAGAAAAAAATGCAAATATGAATGGAAAGAGTCTATGTAGAAAGAACCAACATGCAGAGATGGAAAAATTGTTCAGTCCATGATCAAATTTTCTCTAAATAGCTTCTGACCAATGATCGGGAAATACATGTGATTCAAACTCCCACTCTTTTGTTCTGTAAGTGCATCTTTATTTGCTATCTTTAATTGTGAAAAACAATAAAGTTTACATACAAAAAAAAAACAGTATGTGTGTATGAAAATTAGGAAGTTAACAAAAATGAGAAACTGGTCCTGCCAGTCAAACTCTGAACCTCAAAACTGAACAGTCTGTTTCAGCAAAAGATCTGATATACATGAGGTGTTAAATTAAACAAGTTTTGCAAATTGTGTCAGAGTTGGCACGGAATAAGAGGACATGTTGACAGTTGTTGCTTAAACTTTCCTTTCGGCTTTCATTTGATTTGAGTTCAGACTCAGTTACAGCCATTATTGTTCCCAAAGGAACAGACTGGTTTACAATTTGATTAAAGGATCAATTCACATTTTCCTGGTGAATGGAAACTCAGCTGTTGTTTCCTCCAATATCTAATTTTAGTGGCTGAGTTTCCCTTTAGAGGAATAACGTTCAGGTACCAGAAGAACAAATTCACAGAAATTGTTAGAAACAAAGACGTGAATTAGTGATCTAGCTCTTCAGAGTGCCTTGAAATACTCTTCTCCCTTGAGCCTTCTCCATATTTTATTACATTAAAACCACAAACTTCAATGCATTTTGTTGGGGTTTTGTCTCGTAGATCAACACAAAGCAGTATATAAAGTGTGAGGCGGGAGGAAAATGACAAATAGTTTTGGTAGTAATTTCCGAATTAAAATGTGAAAAGTGTTCAGCTCCCTTGAGTCAATGTCTGTCTGTACGTCACTTCAAACTCAATGCTGCCACCACCATGTTCCTGACTCTAATATTAAATTACAGATTTGTGAAAAACGTGACTGACAGCTGTCAAAAAGAAAACATCTAGTTTTCTTTTTGACAGCTCCAGAGTTACAGTGACCGCCAGGCTGCTTCTCTGATTGACGGTTCATTGTCGGATTATGTCTTGGTATTCTGACAGATGTACTCTACTCTTTTCGTTTTCAGATAAAGGACAGAACAGGGCTCTCTGTGACATGTTTAAATCTTCAGATGTTGTCGTAAAACCTAACCCTGCTTGTTATTTTCTGACATCTGCTGTGATCCTTGCGCTTCAAGATGCTGTTTGTTCGCTCAACAAATAAACCGCTGAGACCTTCACAAGAAACCTGGATTTATACCGACATTAAGGTAGCATTCACACCAGCCCAATTTAGTCTGCTGTAATCGGACTCAAATTGGTTTGTCTAGAAAGTCCAGTTCGTTTGTGGAGGTGTAAATGTGAAATTAAATTCTGATGCTGACCAGAAAAGCAAACTCTGGTCTGGCTTAAAACCTGTCTCGGTTTGATCGAAACGAACTCTAGAGCAGTTTCAATACATATGTGAACACAAGTGGACCTGAATCTGCTCTAAAAGCAGGAAGTGGACAATAGTGCAGGGCATTCTGGGCAAATGCAACAAAAATAAACACACTAATCTAGTGCTAGCAGGAGAACTGCCTCATGGTTGTTTGCCAAGCTGCTAAAACCTGACACTACTCCATTTTTGTTTGCATTTTCCAAAGAAGGAAGCTGCTTTCAGTGTCATCTTCAGAGGTTTTCATGCAGTTCCCTTCAATGGTTCTTGGTGAAGCGCCACCACAGGTAAGGAGGGGAATCATTTCACACAGTGCAGTGTGAAAGTGAACCGCACCAGCTGAACATGTAATAAATGTTGCAACTTTGGTTCCCAATTGAACCCAGTCTACCGGACTATCAGGTGTGAAAACATCCTGAATTACATGTTGACCCTTTGTGCTTTTCTATGGCATAAAAACCTGGAAAATGTATTGACTTTTGTGACTATAAAGCGACAAAATGGGACATTTGAGAAGAGAACAGGAAAGACAAAAACTCAACATTATGATTGGGTTAATATGCGCATCGATGCGAGCATGAACTAATGCAGTTTAACATAAATGCTGAAATCGTGTGAACAGCTGAGCTCATACCTGCAGGGGTAACATGGTGTTGCTGTTGCTGTCTGTGCGAAACATGTTCTCCTCCATCCAGGACTTCGGCCCCAGGGAACCTCCGGAGCGCGGGAACTTGGGCGGAGCAATGACGTTGCTGGAGAAGGGCTTCTTCAGGGGCGAGGCGTGACTGACAGAGCCGGGCACGCCCATGCCGCTGCCTCTGCGGTGGTCCCGACCCCAAGACATGCCCCCGCCACCGCCGCCGCCCCAGCCGTTCCCCTGGTGGCTCCCCCACGGGGACGCTTTCACCATGGGCTGCGCCGGCAACAAGCGGGAGGTTAGATCAAACACATAAATATGCCTCAAACAAGCAGCAAGTTTAATGCTCGGTTTAATCCCATCCCTTATTTCCCCTCGTCAGCCACTGCCGAACTTTATCTGCTTCTGTAATGGGTGGGTAGATAAGAAGATTTAGAGCTTTAAGACTAGTACTAAGTATATCGTGCCCTGCGACACCACCACTGTAACTTACACACTCTCTCCACCTGGACCTAGTGTCTTCTGCTTCAGCATCACCCTCTCAATCTTTTTTGGCAATGTCGTGTGGAAATCCTATCCAGAGGCATTAGGCTTTGTTTGTGACGAAGAGAATCAAAAATGTGAAATATAAGAGTGTACTTTGCTCAAAAATTCAAATCTGATGTGTACTACTACCCCAACTGATAATTGACGGGAATGAGTGGAAGTGGCGTTACTGTTTTTGATCAGGTACAGGAGCAGAGCTGCAGCTAACAGTTATTTTAGTAATTGATTGTACTGACGATTAATTGGTTTTAAAAATTAGCACATTATGCTGATTTCTCATTTTGTACAATATTGAAAATACATACATGTAAATAATTAAATTATTTTTTCTTAAAAGGGAAAATAAACATTTTATTGCCTTTAAATTCAAGAACACAGCATTACTTTAGTTGGTAGCTAAGGACGCATCTGCAGGTAAAAAACTACATCTAACATCAACATGTGTAAAGCCCTTTCTGCTTAACATCAGTGCATTGCAGGGCTAATCTGTTGACATTTTTTTTATTACCAGTTAATAATTGGACAGCAAAAGGTGCTTAATTGGAGATTTATTATTAAATAATTTGAACCAGGTAAAAATAAAACTATGCCACTAAGTTTGATATCTAGTAAGGTGGAGGAGGATTTCTGTGTAAAATATATTTACAAACAAAGTTGTTTTTTTTATTTTAATTGCAAAATGTATGTATTTTTTGTACAGTTTTGGCTTAATTACTGGTCTGAGGGTGTTGTTCTTTCAGCAAATTGCCTTTTTTTTTGTCAGTGTACTCCAGTTAACAATTAATCAATTGCTAAATTAGTTGACAATTATTTCAACAATTAAAATAATTAATCACAATTATTCCGATTAATTGTTTCAGTCCTATACAGGAGATAATGTGCGAAGGCCACAGCGTTTCTCAAGGCGAGAATATATTTTTTTTACAAACTAGAGCTTCACCTTTAAAAAAATAAAATAAAATCTAATCAGATGCTGGTCGCTTTGTGCTCACATCGTCCAGATGAGCAGAACGGCAGAACCTGCAGGAGACGACAGAGACGACGTACCGAGAAACCGTCTGCTCTGGCTCTGGTCAGAGGGTGGAAATAGAAAGATCGGATCATTTTGTGATCAGCAAACCGCAGCGGCCCCTAAGTGCTCATGGGTCACGCTGACGACAACAACGCTGCGATGGTTTGAGTTGTTACTGAGGAAAGGAGATCCAAAGCTGGCTCCGTTCTGTTGAGAGAGGTGTTTAAAAAGAAGTCTGAGGAAAGAAAAGTATTTCCCATGGAGGCACATCAGAAGTCAACAGGAAACTGAATGTACTCTAGCAAAGTTTCCTCTATTTTATCCTTTTGAAGAATCAGAATCTGTCTGTCATGGAGCGTAATGGAACCTGACATGTCCAGAACTTTTTCTGGACATTTGCAGAGCTTTGAAAACCTCACAGCTAAGGTAAGCGTATGGACTTTCTACACACTCACACACGCACGCATGCACACACACACACACACACCCACACACACACACACACACACACACACACACACACACACACACGTTTGTTTAAAGATAATAGTGAAATTCTTTTTAACTGCCAAGCCATGCCAAGCCGACTGACCTATCTCACACCCAGTGTGACGTCGTCTCCGGCTCTAATATAATTAATCATTATTGGACATAAAGGCAGCTTAAGGTTTCCATATAGATGAATGAATGAATGAATTAATGATCTAATAAATTAACACATCTGACGATAAATCTTGAGTTTTTCCTTCTTGAATATTAAATTCAAATCCACAATTTTTTTAAAATGGAGCTTGGAGAGAAAAATAGTATCTTGTTATCTGATGCATCTTTATAATTTTATGTGTGCTAAAAGAAAAAAATGTGGAATATATACCATCTGGTAAAGTAGTAAAGGTGTAAAAATGGAGTCTTATGGCCAATGTAGACAAAGAAAACAAACTGGCTGCAGAAACGTAAACTTCTGTCAAAAAACTGAAATTTTGAGAATAATTTCAAACATTAGAAAAATCTTGGACATTTTCTGATATTGAAATGTCATAAATTTGCAAGAAATTTTTTTTTCCAGGAGTGTATTCATAAATCTACACCATAAAGTCAGACGTTTGTTTAACAGAAGTCCTCAAATGTTTAAGTGGTAAATACAGAAGATGTGCATCTATATACTTTTCACAGTGGTTTCTTTTTCTGAACCAGAACGACACATGCAGGGTTCAGACTCATCCTGAGCGCCTGAAACTGGATCCAGAATACACACCTGAGCCAGTGAGGAAGAAGCTGCAACATGGCTACACCGAGTCTAAACCTGGGATATGTCCTTCTAATAGTCTAGAGTCTAGATCCGCCACTTACACTTTGGAAAATATCCAGATACACATTTTCTAGATCTACTACACCAATTTTTGAGGACTTGTGGCATTTTTGGTGCAAATGTCTGATTTTGCAACATTAGTAAACTTCTGGGATTTTTCTTGCAAATTTCTGACTTCACAATGTCACGAATATCCATCCATCCATCCATCCATCCATCCATCCATCCATCCATCCATCCATCCATCCATCCATCCATCCATCCA